GTTACCAGGTGTACACATATGAGACATTCCCCGCTGCCCCGCAATGGCCTTTCCCTGGCTCTGTTTGCCAGGGATTTTAATACAAGTGACTCCACTTTAATTCTGAGCCCCAAGTGACCGCCCCACCTCCCATTCTGATCTGTTCACTCTGCTCCAGCCCACTGTCCCTGAGCAATCTCGGTCCCACTTGGGCATCTTGAGCTTATGTTCCTGCCCTGTGAAATGCTCTTGCCCAGGGCATTTGCACAACTTGTGCCCTTAATGTTAACTGAATTTCGGTTCACATGTCACCTCCTTGAAGAGGCCTTATCATCATCCTATTTAAGATAGAGCCTGTCCCCCAGGGCCCTGTGGCACTCTATCCTATTCCCTCTTAGAGCTTTTCCCTTGGAGCATGGCTACTCCCAGAAATTATATTCTGTGATTGTTCATTTTAAGTGTGTCTCCCCCAGATAGGATGTAAGCTCCATGAGACTGGGAACCTTCATCTCGTCCCCTTCAATATGTCCAACAGCATCTGCAGTGTAGAGCTGATGCTCAACATGTGTATGTAGAGAGAACGATAAATGCTGGTACAGAACGAGGGGAAAAGTGTTTCAAGGTGAGGGACTAGTGAGCTGTGTCAGCATGGCTGAGAGCTGAGTCGGGGAGAACTGGCTTCTTGACAACTGGGTTTGCCATATGGCAGCAGCTGGTACCCTTGACAGGTGATGCACGAAAAGCGTGAGGACAGAATCCACAGGGGAGTGGGTCAGAGGGAGGTGAGGAGCAAGCGTGGTGGCTGTAGACCATCCTCTTGGCAGCTTTGCTGGGTGGTGGTAGTTCTGGAAAGAGATGTGGGCTCAAGAGAAAGTTTTTCAAAATGAGAGAGATAACAGATAATGTAATCACATTCTAATTTGATGAGCTCATTCAAATTCCTATTTGACTAAATATGGAGATATATGCCAATCTAATCACATTTTGGCACAGCCCGCTGAGCAGGCGGTGCTAGCCCCATTTTACAGATGAGGAAACTGTATTAAGAGAGTTCCAGGGTACAGAATGAGTGCTGGGTAGAGCTGGGCTGGAATACTCCCTCCAGATCTGAGTCTAGCACTCTTTCCTCCGGCTCATCAAATATGAGATATGGACAAATAAACCAGACAATTCGTAAAAGAGAAAATAACCATAGCAAACAAATGTTGAAATGTATTCGATCACTCTAGCATCAAAGAGATGTAAATTAACAAATAAAAAAGTGTTTTTGTCAGTTCATAACAACCCAGATGATGGTATCCAGTGGTGCTGAGGGTGCAGTAAAACCAGCATTGTCATACGCCATCAGTGTTGTCGTAACTGACGCACAGGCCCTTTGGAAGCCAGTTGGTGATATGTATTAGTTGGCTCTGTAAACACTTTTGAGAATGTAAGCCAAGGAAGTAACGTTCTGTACATAAAGAGGTGTATTGCAGAAGTATTTATAAAGGTAAATATTTGGAAGAAATAAGAGAATCCACAGTAGAGACATTGCTAAATAAATGATGGTGCCTTCGTGTGATGAGAGATCATATACCCATTTAACAGTGCTATTTATGAGGACTATAAATGGCGTGGAAATGGGGTCATGGGGTAATGGTTAAGGAAAGAAGGCAAGACCCAAAGTTGTGTGCCCACAATCATTACAGCTGCTTATAACTTGTATATGGGGGAAAGAAGGCAGAAATACACAAAAATAGGTGTGGCTTAGAGGATGGTGAGACTGTGGCTGATTCTAGTCCTCCCCTTGTTCTCCAGCTGCGTGTGATGCTGTTTCACAGTCATAATTCAGATCGTGTTATTTCTAAGTTAGCTTATACACTTGTCCCCAGAAATGCCTGTAGAGTCATTTGTGTCCAGCCATGTGCATGGGTGCACGGGGCAGCCCTGAACCTTTCCGCCGCTGTGTTGCAGCGGCTGACCAGGTGCCACTGATGGAGGACTTGGAGCAGATCTTTCTGCGCTCCTGGCGGGAGTCTCACCTGACCGAGATCCGGCAGTACCAGCAGGTGCCACTGCAGCCCTTCCCGCCTGCACCCAGCACCGTGGTGCCCGTGACCTCAGCACAGCTGCCCTGGCTGGCTGGCCTGGCTGCCAGCTCCTGCAATGACAGCGTGCACGTCATCGAGTGCACCTACTCCCTGGCCGAGGGCCTCTCTGAGATGTTCAGGCTGCTCATTGAGGGCAAGCTCGCCAAGACCAACTACGTGGTCATCATCTGCGCCTGCCGCAATGCCGCCATAGACTCCTGCATCGCTGTCACTGGTAAGTGCGGTGCCTCGTGGCCCGTGGAAAACCAGCTGTGATTTCCCAGGCACTTTCCTTTGTGGTTCCTTCCCTCTGAGCCTTGCGTGGCCCCGGGTTTGCAGTAGCGGTTAGCACCTGTGGTTTGTGCTCAGTACCCGGCTTCAGAAGGCAGCTGTGGTGCCAGCACCTCAAGCCCTGGATAATGCGTTTAGTTAAAATTTCATTCCTGCTGTCAATGGCAAGGTTAGCAGTTCCCACTTCTTCCAGAGACAGACTGGGGTCAACTTCAGAGTCTGCAAAGATCTGGTTGAAATCCCGGCTCCACCAAGCACCTGGCATTGTGTTGGGTCACTCACACCAGGACGCTGGCCCTGTGTCTTCAATGACCTAATGGAGATAGAAAGCCCTGTGTTGTGTGGGTTAATGAGACAATTTGCTAATTAATCACAAATACACTCATTGGAGTCCTACTCTGAACAAACGTTGTTCGGGGGCCGGGGATAGGTTCTGGAGTGCACATTCTGGTAGGGAAGGGGGACAACAAACACACACGCTTTTTTGGCCTCTTTTGAAAATGACACCTCAGGTGTTATGTATTTTCAATGTAAATTTTGTATTTTTTTGCTTAAAAATGCACATCATTACTATGGAGTGTCCCAGTTGCCTTTTGGCATTCTTTGACCCTAAACTTATTCTGTGTGTTTCATAAGTTCTTTAACTGGATTTGAATAGTAAATTCCATAATAAACCCAGAGTCTCTCCTGTGTGCCAGGCCCCATTGTCTAGTATCATCTTCCAGTGAGGCAGGTGTTGCTGTTAGTCACCATTCCAGATGAGGAAAGTGGGCCTGGAAGGGTGAAGTGACTAGTTCAGGGTCACACAGCTAGTTAGTGGAGGAATAGTCAGGTTCCAAAGCCAGAGCTCTGGGTTTTCTCTGAGTGATCTCAGCCTTTTTAGTCTCTTTTATAATCCTAACTGTTGAGCTGAGACAGGATGGTCAACAGGATTGATTCATTAACAAATATGAACACCTGCTCTTTGCCAGGCGTGGTGCTGGGCTGCGGGAGTAGGTAGAGAGACATAGAGCCTGTCACTGAGGAGCTTGTATGAAAGTTCTAAACAGAGGGGCCCATGAAAGTTGTTTGTTTTCCAGGAAAATACCAAGCCCGGATCCTCTCTGAGAGCCTCCTCACCCCAGCAGAGTACCAGAAAGAAGTCAATTATGAGCTGGTCACAGGGAAAGTGGACTCTTTGGGGGCCTTCTTCAGTTCCCTCTGTCCAGGTAGGCTTGTCATGAGACAAGTGCGTGCATGCAGAAACTGATACGACAGAAATAAGTGCAAAGGGGGAGGTCACCTCTGCCCTGCCTGGCCTGTGACCTGGGGTGGACCCTGCTGTGCCGAGGTTCCTCCATTCTGTGCATTAGCACTGACATGTCTTTCTTTTCTTTTGTGTTGGCTGTGGTTTCTGGCTGGCTGGCTCTTTGCTGTGGCTGTAGAGTTCTTCTGGCAGGGGTGCCATGTGGGTCTGTGGTCCTGTTTCTCTCTACCTTCCCAGTCTAGTTGGCCACCATGCCCAGCTCCCCCTCTGAATTGCCTGATGCCTCTTGCAGACAGTTCCTTATCCCCCGTGTTCTCTGCTGCAGGTCCCTGCCCCTTCCTTCCCTGGCTACTCGCCCTGCAAGACTCATCACATGTGCCCCTAGAAAGTGGCTTGGACCCTTGCTTCTCTGGGATGGACTTGGAACCCATCCTCTGTCCTTTAGCATCTCGTCCTCCTCCTGCCCTAGCGCCTACTGTGCTGTGGTGTAACTCACTTTAACTGTCTGCATCCTTGCTAGGTTGCGGGCGCCTTGACAGGATGGGTTACATCATCTTTATCTCCATTTCCCCAGCTTCAGGATGGGGCCAGACACATAGCAGCTGTCCCATGATTTTTGTGGAATTTCACTAAAGTGGAAAACCCATTTCTGATTATTCTCTCTGTTTTGGGCAGAGGGTGACATTGACATTTTGCTGGACAAATTTCATCAGGAAAATCAAGGTCACATTTCTTCCTCACTTACTGCCTCCTCCGTCACTAAAGGAATGTCACTGGATGTCAGTGGATCACTGGTGTGCACAAGTAAGTGCTGAGAGGGTGCTAGGTGGGGGCACAGGTGTGCATAGTGAGGGCTGAGAGGGTGGGCAGGAGCACGGGTGTGCACAGTGAGAGCTGAGTGAGGGCAGGGGCACAGGTGTGCACAGTGAGGGCTGAGGTAGGGCAGGGGCACAGGTGTGCACAGTGAGAGCTGAGTGAGGGCAGGGGCACAGGTGTGCACAGTGAGAGCTGAGTGAGGGCAGGAGCACAGGTGTGCACAGTGAGGGCTGAGGTAGGGCAGGGGCACAGGTGTGCACAGTGAGAGCTGAGTGAGGGCAGGGGCACAGGTGTGCAGTGAGAGCTGAGTGAGGGCAGGAGCACAGGTGTGCACAGTGAGAGCTGAGAGGAGGCAGGTGCTGATTCCAAGGGGTCAGGGAAGCCATGCTAGAGGGACATCTAAAAGACAGGGCATTTTCTCAGCATTTAAATAGTTCTGATATCTGATTTTTAGTGTGTTTCTCTATGCTGATTTCCTGCTTATAATGCCCTGTTGAAATTTTTATCCACACGAAGTTCCTGAAGCGTTATGTTAGTTCCTTCTCTTCCGGAGAACTTGCTGCTCTCTTCCCAAGTGCAATCTCAGCATCCCCTTCACTGGGATGCTGTCCTTGTCCCCTCCAGGCAGAACAGGTCACTGTCTCCTCTGTGCTTCCCTAGCACTCACACTTTTATTGCCAAATGAAGAAAGATGCATAAACCCACCCCCGTGCCTGCTGAGCACAGGCACTTGAGAATCGTGAGTTTGGCCCCTTTCCCTGATTGCCATGCACATGGGTGGTCTCCACCATAGACGAGGGCTCACTGCTTTGTTCTCTAGCCAGGACTTGCCCTCTGCTCTTGGGCTCACCTGGCATCTGGGCCCTGGTTCCAGGTTACAGTCTGGAGCCACATGGTATCCGGCCCTTCCAGTTGGCAGTGGCACAGAAGCTCCTCTCCCACGTGTGTTCGATTGCGGATTCCAGCACCCAAAACCTGGATTTGGGGTCCTTTGAGAAGGTGGACTTCCTAATTTGCATCCCACCCTCCGAGGTGACCTATCAGCAGACACTGTTCCATGTCTGGCATTCAGGTACGGGGCCCTTGTGGGGGACATGTTGTGAGGCCTGCGTGGAGAAGCTTCGATTGGCTAAGTTCATGTTTGGATGTTAATGCCAATCTTTGCTGTGGAGTAGATAGAGCAGGTGTGTTTTTGCCCCCATTGTGTTGATTGTGAAGCTCACGTTCACAGACAGTGACTTGCCCGAGACTTTAGAACCTGTTAAGGGTAGAACCAGGGACTTGAACTTTTGCTGTGTCCCAGTCAGGCCGATGGCCTATCTGTTGACATCTGGCTTCTCCTTAACGTGTTTTCCCTGTGCTTCTGGGGACTGTGCGATTCAACATGAAAGGTACAGTGAGTCAGTGTCTTAACTCAAAGGACTCACTCCTCAGTGGTAGACTGGAGGGCCCTGTGGCATTAGTGCTGAGAGAGGGTTTTGCTGGGTAGTACGACCTTTCCCTTCACTTAAGACTTATCAAGCCCGGGGTCAGCTGTTCATGAAGCCAATGTTGCCGGTTCCCCCAGCTGTAGGCAGCCTGCCTCTACTGTGCAGAGCAGTTATGTGAGGGTCATCTGTGGAGGAGTCTCCACTCCGCTGGTTCAGCCTATGCATCCCTGTAGCCTTGGGCCTAGCTCAGTGCCTGCTGTACAGGTGTCCACTGCTGACGATGTTTGGAGTTATTGATGTGTTTTTACTGTGTTGCAGGGGTTTTACTGGAGCTTGGCCTGGAAAAGGAGCACATGACCAAGCAGAGGGTAGAACAGTATGTTTTGAAGCTAGACGTGGAGGCACAGACAAAATTCAAGGCCTTTCTGCAAAACTCCTTCCAGAATCCACACACGCTCTTTGTCCTAATCCATGACCATGCCCACTGGGATCTTGTGAGGTTAGAGTGACTTGGTATCCGACAGGCTGACACTTTCCTTCTTTGAAATGATGTATATGAAGATGCTTGGGGCTGAAGGTACAAGTCTTAAAAAGATGCGGACTTGGTATTTGTAAGCAGATGGCCTTGGATGTTTTCCAGAAGTTTAAAGCTGGAAGTTATCTTAGGGATCACCTAGTGCAGCCTCTGAAATTTACCACTAAGGGCTGGAGAAGGGAGGCATCTCACTCAGTCCCAGGGCTGGGGTGGGATGGGAGGGGGTCAGGGCAGAGCTTGGCCTGGAACCGAGGCCCCTAATTGCAGACCGATGTGTTTTTTCTGTAGCCCACTTGGCAGCAAGGTGCCTACTGGTACAGGGCAGGGGGTTCTGACAGCAGGCCCTCAGCCCAGCCCCTCCCTGATGGAGGCCCCCATCATCCCCAGTACCTTGGGTCACTGCTAGTTCCTGCCCTTGTAAAATTATAAAATGGTGTTAGTAATGCCGCTTGTCTCTCCTTTTCCTCCTTTAGTAGTGCTGTTCATAACCTCTATTCTCAAAACGACCCATCCGTGGGACTGGTGGACAGATTGCTCAACTGCAGGGAGGTAAAGGAGGCGCCCAACATCGTAACCCTCCAGGTGACCTCCTTCCCATACGCGCTGCAGACACAGCACACCCTCATTAGTCCCTACAATGAGATCCACTGGCCCGCCTCCTACAGCAAGGTGAGTGCCCTGGGCTGCCGGGCTGGGATGTAGCCATGAGCTGGAGTTTGGAGAAATTATCTTTGGTCTTGACTAAGCATGGTTGGGGGTCAGTGAGTTCCAGCTCCTTGGACCTTTGATTTGACCCAGGGTTAGATTGAAACCCTTTGTGGTCTTTTTGGAAACCTTTCATCAGCTGGCTTCCCCATCTTAGAACATGACACAGGACAGTCAGTTTGACACTTTCTCCAGTGACTGAAGCTCTCTGAGCAGCATTTTGAGCATTGTTCACAGGGCACGGGGTAAAGCAGTTAAAGATAGAGCCCTTGAGGCCTGTGGAGTTTGGTCTCCATGAGGAGTGACTCTAAGTGAATCTAGAAGACTTAGAAATGTTGCTGGTTTTCCCATCCCCACATCCTTAAGCAGTGAGGTTCAAAATGTCCTTTCTCACACCAAACACACATTCTCAAAACCTGGTGAGTTTTGTTTTAGTTTATCACCTGCCATTCTCTCATCAAAATAGAGTACCAAATCAATTCTGGTAATTTGAGAAATCTGTGTGGTTAGATTCTAACTAATTACAGAAGGAATAAGTAAACTTCAAATTCTGGACTTTTTTGGAGTGCCTGACAGTCATCTGAAGAACTTTTCAAAATATGGATGCTTGGCTTCCATCCGTAGACTTGGAACCAGTGATGACGTGGCCGGTGTTTGTGTGGCACTTACCATGGCTAGCGGCCTGCTCTAAGTGCTTTATACGTAGGGACTCATGCAGGAGGCAGGTGCTAGGGCCATTTCTGATTTATGGATGGGGAAGATGACACAGAGGGGTTGGGCCGCTGACTCCACGGCCCTGGTTCTCAGCCACTGTGCAATCTGGGGGTAGAGTTTACACCTTTGTATTTTTAAGAACCTGCCCTGACTTTGCTGTCCTCTGAAGTTTGAGAAGCTCTGATGTTCAGTTGGGAGGAATTTTATGTCAATGTGAGTAAAATTGGTTAGATAGATGTGTTTTTATTCTATTGATTTTAGTGGCAAATGAATGCAAGATGATTTTCCTTTTCCTGAAACCAGCTTAAAATTGTGGAAAAAAGCAATTTCAACAAAAAGTTGTATGTTAAAAAAAAAACAAAAAAAAAAACAAGGCTGATTTTCTCCTTGGTGAAGACGTTGGGGCTGAATGAATGGAATACTCTTGACTGATGGGGATGCGCTATCCTTAAAGTATGGGATGCTCTTAGCACTGGGTCTGCAGAGAAAGATGCTTGTAAAATGCCATTTAAGGAACTGGGTAATTAGCACAATTTGGATTGAGATGCCAGTCGAGGTCATCTGCAAACCCAGCAAGTGAACCTCAGACCATCCCTGCGAATGGAACGTTTGAATGACTGATGTTCTTCTCTGTTTTAGGGAGTGGACTTATATCATGAAAATAAGAA